GAAACATAATATTTTACAATGTGTCCTTTTTTTGTTTTTTTATTATAAATAAGTAAATTAATTTCAATTCTAATGTACAGAATACACTCGCAATCACAAATTACGTTCTTTTATTTTGATTCATTCTTGTATACATGTAATTTGTTATAATATAATTCTTTAGTATCGAATATATTGAAATAAACACGTTTACAATATTAAATAAAACATTTATGTAAATGTATTACGTATTATGTATGGTGTTCTGTAAAATACGTGTAAATATAATCACATCTCAGAAAAGGGAATAATAATCTTATCGTTATTTAACATCAAGTGTTTATACGACAGTGGATTGAAATAAAAATAAAGAAAAAAAAAAATAGAAAACACATTAAAATTTAAGAGATTGAGAATAAATCACCATTGAAAAAATACAGGCCAAGCAAAAGGATTTTTTTTACAAACGAACGAGATATTTTTCCAAGTCACGTGGAGGCCGGTTTAACCTAAGCGTGTATTTTAAAATCAAAACTTGCAGTCAACGCAAAATAAAGTTTCATTTTAATATAAGTAACGTGCATCGTTAGCAAATAATATAATACAAAAATATGATCTAATATATCATACACATTTTTTTCAATTTTTTATCATATTTCTTTTAAATTGCAATTATTATTAAGAGAGAATGACTTCATTTGTGAATAACATGTTATACATTTGATATTAATTAAAGATTGTGATTATATATCAATTCTCTATAGGATAATAATTTTGTTTGTCCATATAACATAATATAACCTTATTTGAATTAAAAAGTGTGTGTAAATATGTTTCAACAAATGAAAAAGTTTCAATCAATCTTGTCGTTAAAGGAAAGATCATGTTTCAATTTATTTGTCAATAATTATTCGGTTAACAGTTCTAAGATAAGTGAAACTACGTTAAATTCTTTTCAAGATATTCCTGGACCAATATCTTTACCTTTGATTGGAACATTGTATAAATATATTCCTTTGATAGGTAAGCATAACAAACTATGTTATATCAAATTAATATAAATACTATGATATATGTGTATATTTGATAGGTGAATATTCATTTACAAGACTTTACGAGAGTGGAGTTAAAAAATTGAAACGTTATGGTCCATTAGTAAGAGAAGAAATAGTACCAGGTGTACAAATTGTATTTGTATATCGTCCAGAAGATATAGCTGAAATTTTTAAAGCTGAAACTTCATTACATCCTGAACGTAGAAGTCATTTGGCACTTCTCAAATATAGAAATGATAGAAGTAATATATATAATACTGGAGGTCTTTTACCAACGTAATAAATAACAATTTTTGTCACAATTAATATATATCTATAAAAGAAAATATATATATATTTAATATTAAATGTATATGTTTTAGAAATGGACTCGAATGGTGGAGATTACGTAAAGAATTTCAAAAGGTTCTTAACAAAATAAATTATGTTGTTAATTATCTAAAAGATACGGACAGTGTTATTAAAGAATTTCTTCCTCTTTGTACAGAAGAAAAATATGATGATTTCTTACCGCTACTTTCGCGTCTCTTTCTTGAATGTAATATTGTTTTATATAGATTTATTTTTCTTATAATATCTATATTGAAATATTTGTATTATCTATTTTTTTGTTAATATAAACAACAATTGCAGTAACGTGTCTGACAGCCTTTGATATAAGAATGAATAGTTTTTCGAAGGAAGAAATGCAGAAAGATTCTAGAAGTTCTAAACTCATTGATGCAGCATTTTCAACTAATAGTGCTATTTTGAAATTAGATAATGGACCTAGATTGTGGCGTTATTTTGATACAATTCTTTATAAAAAAATGTGCAAAGCACAAAACTATATGGAGAAGTATGTTATTTATATATATAATTTTAAAACGTTTATCCAAATATTATTTTATATGAATTTTCTTCTATATAGTGTCGCAATAGAAATGGTAAATAAGAAAATAGAAAAAGGAACAGATCCTTCTAAGAAATCTCTTCTTGATGCTTATTTGAATAATCCTGCATTGGATAAAAAAGATATAGTTGGTATGGCTTGTGATATGTTGCTTGCTGGTATCGATACTGTATGTAAATATAAATATCAAAAAATAAAAATGATTATATCATTGAATAATAATTTTTAATTATACAAGAACATTTTTATTATTATTTCTATAGACAAGCTATACTATGTCTTTTGTTCTGTATCATCTTGGAAAGAATCCTGAATGCCAAGAAAAATTAAGAGCAGAATGTTTCAAGTTATTACCGGATAGTAATCAAGACATAACTCCAAATATTTTACGTAAAGCTGAGTACACAAAGGCTGTAATCAAAGAAACATTTAGATTGAATCCAGTATCGATTGGAATAGGACGTGTTTTACAGACTGATATTGTTCTTAATGGTCATTGTGTACCTAAAGGTGTAAGTATTTAATTATATTGTATATTTACCTTGTACTTTGTATTTATAATGTTATTTTTTAGACTGTAGTTGTAACGCAAAATCAAGTCACCTGCCAGTGTCCTGAATATTTCGATGATCCGCATTCATTCATACCGGAAAGATGGTTACAAACAAATGCAGATGTCAATAATAAACATACTAATTCTTCAAGATCTATTAATCCATACTTAGTATTACCTTTTGGTCATGGACCACGGTCTTGTATTGCTAGGCGTTTTGCCGAACAAAGCATGCGAACTTTATTAATACGGGTACGTTTATTAACAATTTATTTAATTCTCAATTGAAAAAATGTTTATTTAATATATTTCATATTAAATTCTATATATATATATATATTTTCTTTTTCTCTTTTTATATGTAGATCTGTCGAGAGTTAGAATTTACTTGGAGTGGTGATAATCTCGGTTGTAAATCATTATTAATTAATAAACCGGATGGCCCAATCAAGCTCAATTTTACAAAAATATAAACATTAATAAATTATATTAAAACAGTGGAGCCTTCTATATTCTAACTCTCATTATCCGAATATCCGAAAATATCTGAAAGTTTTGTTATTTAAATAATCATTGCGTAATAATGTTTACATTCGTGTATTCGATCAAATGAATTCTAGTTATAATAATTTTATTATTTAATCATATAATAATATCCATTATATTTTAAATTATTATAAGGAGTATGTATCTGTTTAAACATTCCGTTCGAACAACGTCGGTAAACAAATTTTGTAATAGGAATACAAAAGGCTCAACTAAACTTTGGAAGTAATAATTACATCACTGAAATCAATTCTGAGAATAATATAATTCTCTAATATTATATTATTTTATTATCCAGTACTGTTATAAAAAAAATTACCTGCATGATGTACTGTGTATTTTAATAAATGAACTTAATTGTAAGTCATATATTTAGGAGTAGCAGAGAATTTAGCATAAGACTTGATGACTTTGTTAACAGCTTCAAGAAAATCTTTTTCTGTAGCTACTTTACGACGTGCACGAATTGCAAACATTCCAGCTTCTGTACATACAGAACGTATTTCGGCTCCCGTGCTATTAGGACACAAACGAGCGAGTAATTCGAATCTAATATCTCTTTCAACGCTCATCGAACGTGCATGAATTTTAAAAATATGAGTTCGACCCTCAAGATCTGGTAAACCGAACTCAACTTTCCTATCCAAACGTCCTGGTCGCATCAATGCAGGATCTAACGTATCTGGTCGATTAGTTGCCATTAATACTTTGATATTACCACGAGGATCAAATCTAAATATAAAATATAAATATAACAAATATATAAATATAAAGCTCTAAAATATATACAGAAGAAAATCTTACCCATCTAATTGATTGATCAATTCCAACATAGTTCTTTGCACTTCGTTGTCACCGCCAGCTCCATCATCGAACCGAGCACCACCAATAGCATCAATTTCGTCGAAAAATATTAAACAAGCTTTTTTACTACGCGCCATTTCAAATAATTCTCTCACCATTCTTGCACCCTAAGAAAAATCCGTATATGTATGTACTATTATTACATTCTATTGTAATAAATTTTCTAAATAATAACATACTTCTCCAACATATTTTTGAACTAATTCTGATCCGATAACACGTATGAAACAAGCATCTGTTCTATTGGCTACGGCTCTTGCGCATAATGTTTTACCTGTTCCAGGTGGCCCAAAGAGTAATACACCTTTAGGAGGTTCTATACCTAAATTGACAAATTTCTCTGGCTGTAAATAAATAAACAAAATGATGATATAAATATGATAAAATTAATTTTAATAAATATTAATTATTAATTAAATTTATAAATACTAACATGAAGTAATGGTGTTTCTACGACTTCTCTCAACTTTTCTATTTGTTCTTTACAACCACCTACATCGCTATAAGTTACATCTGGTTTTTCCTCAACTTGCATCATAGTAACAGTAGGATCTATTTTGGGTGGTAATGGGATATGTATTTGATACTTATTACGATCTACTCCAACTCTCATGCCTTCTTCAATATCCGTTGGTGCTACCGTATCAGCCAAGTCGACAACGAACTTAGCAAACTGTTTTACATTTATAATATATTTTGGATCGTCAGAGTCAGCATTAATAATTTTTGTACAACGAGCAACTTGTAATGGTTGTTCATTTTGAAGAGTTTGTTTGTCTGCTGCTAAATCCCAAAGAGCTGGAGGTGCCAAACCAGTGTCTGATTCTTTGATTCCTGTCAGTTCATTTACACGCTTGATTATAGTTTGTATATCTTCTTCAACCACCTTTATAGTCTTAGTATATTGACCTTGACCCTATATATTTTATTACATGGATAATATTAGAAAGACAAATATAATATGATAAAGGATTATTTTATTTATAAATTATAACTCACATATGTTTTCAACAAAGCAATGTCCGCCTCATCAAGAGCTGAAATAAAATAATATAATATTTAAAATATACAGAAGAAAATTAATAACTTTAAAAAAAAAATAAAAAGAAAGAAAAGAAATAATTTCACATTTAAACTTACATTTAATTTCTTTCTCTTCTTTTTCATCCTCCGATTTTACTTTACGCATATCCTCTCCTAAATGATCAGGCATTTTTAATATATTTCGTTAAATAACTTCTTTAGATTGTTATTTTTAATCTTTAACATAAAATAATAATATAATGGGATAAGTTGACGTTGGACAAGTTTTAGGTTATGATTCCAACAGATTACAAGCAAAAATTAATAGTTGTCTGAATGGCGACGTCAGTGAATAAAAAAATGTTCCTAGTAATATCTGATCAATGATTGGTCAATTTTAAGCCAATTCGATTTAAGAAATAATCAAAGATTTTATATAAAAATATTCTAGTGAAATTTGGATGTTTTTTAATAACAATGTGCAGGATTACGAATGATATAGAGCCTCTACATTTTTTAATTTTTTAGGTTAATACATTTAGGTTATAAAATAAACAAATAGTAAGAAATAAAATCTAAATGGGTGCGACATCCTTGTTAGTGGTATTAAGAATAAAACCTTTGCTACGAGTGAATTGTTATTTGTCAAGTTTATTAAATAATAATTATCAAGAACAATTGGTAAGAGGAAATCAAAATATTTTACGTTATTGTATGAAAGTTCCTAACACCGAGGGTAACGTACATGATTTTCCTAAAAAGAAAAAACCGAAAACAATGATTATACCTAAAATAACACTTTTATTGTCAAAAGATTCTATGACAGTTATAACTTTGGAGGAAGCACAAAAACTTGCAAAACGTCGGAATTTAATATTAATCAAAGTAGATGATGAACAGAAATGTTCATCTAAAGACACTTACAAACTTGTAGAACCAACGGAACATTTGAAAGAGTCTAAAATTAAAGATAAAGGTGATACAAAAAATAATGATATTAAATCGATAAAGCTCATACAATTATCTGCTAAAATATCCATGTATGACACTGAGATCAAATTGAAAAACGTCAATAGATTGTTAAAAAAAAGGCATAAGGTCAAATTAATCATTAATTATGATTCCGAAATACCGGTAAATATGCAACTTATTTATATATATATATATATATATATATATATAAACACATATGTCTGTACATAACATTTATTTTATTTTCATTTATAGGATAAAATATTGAAATACGTTGAGTCGTCTATAAAACAACATGGAACGATACAAAAATCTATGCAATCATTGCGTGCAGTGCTTTTAATTACTCCCATATTAAATAAAAATGACAATACGAATGATAATTCGCATGATATAAATGTGAACACGGAAGAAAAATGACTAGTAAATTCTAATTGTATATAAAACGAGTAAACTATTTGTCAATATTTTCATTGTAAATATCAAAATGTGCAAATATGTATTAATAGATATTATTGAAAATAATTAACATAAGTATGCAAACAAATACAAAAAAGTGATAAAATAAAAAGATAGCATGACATGTTTTAAATGAAAATATTGTATTGAAAATAACATTACGATGTGTTTAATGATTAAACATTTTATATTGTTGTGCCGCAGAGATATTTTTTTGTGATGGTATGTATTTGTCATAGTTATTTTTCTTTTCAGGGATATGTTAATTTAATTATCCTTAACAATGTAATACTGTTACGGTTTAAATTAATTAAGAATATACAATAGATAGAAGCTAGAAAACGAATATTTGAACAGTTCCACATATAACTGAGTGAAAAGATTTATTACGGACATTCTAATGTCGTACAATTTCTAAATTCTACAATTGTAGAACAAAGTCTACCATTTGGACCACGAGAGGTTGAACTTCGATATTTCTTATTCTATAATCCGACGTAATTCCCCAAGTTCCAAAGGAACTTCATTATCGAGCAAGATTGTACTTTACAATCTACTGAAACTAAAATAATATAAAGATTATTAAATTTATCAGAAATTTAATATGAATATTAAAAGTAATAGAATTCATGTATCACGCGATATCAATTTTGTCAATCAATTATAACACTTACATTATACTTACTTTCGTTTACTCTTCTATTAATTTTTTCTGCTGTAAATATTGAAATAATATTAAAATCATTCACATAAATATATATGTATATATATATATATATATACATATTTAAAATAATATTTGTAGATTTCGTTAAAAAATGTTCATAAATGTTTTTATTCGTTTAAACATTTAACGAACATTTACTTACAACAAGGCGGTACTTTACGACATTTTCTTTTCCGTAGCAATTTTTTCGGACAACTTTTACCTCCGCCTTTAGCCGACATCTATAAAGAAAATTTACGATAAATTGTATAATCAACTTAAACTACTTACCGCCATGTATGTTCTATTTATTAATCAAATTATTTTGTAAAATAAGAAATTATATATACAAAAATCTTCCGCGTGCTAAATGTAAAACCACGACATCTAATACATGGTGACCATGCGCTCCATTCTGATACACTGCAATCTATTCGTTGACTGTTTTCTTCTGACGATTCTACCACTTGACTTCCAGATTGAAGACCTTTGAACTCTAATAAAGATTCTGTAAATCAAATATAACGAAAAAACATTGATAATCAAATTGTTGTACAATTAATTAATACATTCATACGTTTCATTGATTTATATTCATATCGAAAAATTCACAACAATTCAAAAAATAAAAGAAATCTAATAATTGGTGAATAATAATACAAACCACGTATCGAGTTATTAGTGTAATTAAATTAAAAAATAAAAATAAAAAGAAAAGAAAGAGAAATCTATAAAAAAAAATATATATATATGGAAATATTAAAAAGTGTAAAAAAACAATGTTACTTTTGTTTTGTTTAAGTATAAAATCAAAATATACCAACGTGATATATTGAATAATTATTTTGAAATATAGTATACCCGAGGTTTCATCAAACTGTGCTCGTTTTGTCTTTCTCCTGTGTTGTTCTTGTACAGGTATATGATAGCTGAGCACACTGCTGAGGGATACCTTAAAATTTTTCATAAGAGCCGACAAGTTGGCTTTTAATTCTCCTTATTTCGTTTGATTAGCGTGCACAGAAGAAAAGATGATTTTTTTTTTTTTTTTTTTTTTTTTCATTTTTTTTTTCTCACGTTAGTCAATTAAACGCTAACAAATCTAATATTATTATTCTTTCTTTATTATTTCTTTTTGTTTTTTCTTTTTTTTTTTGGTTTAATTAATTGGTCATATTATATCACGACTTACTTTGATAATTTCCACAAACTGTGTAACAATATTCCTTGGTTGGAAAATTATTTCTATTTCCACCGCATCCTGTATATTTAAAATGATGACACTGTCCGTCGTATTTGTTGAAATAAACACGTAATATATGTTCCGAACAATTTCCTTCTATTTTCGGTTCGCTGCATACTTCTAAAAGAAGAACATTAATATATTTTTATCAATGAAATTATATTTAAATTAATACATTCGAAGTTACGTTAACCAGTTACACTGTAAAATAATAATAATAAATATTAAATAATAAATATAAATATAACAATATTTTGTATCGATGACGATTATACTCGTCACTTGCAATTAATTTAGGTAGACCCTTTTTCCAAGAAGTTTTTCCACAATTAACTGTGGTTTATAAATAAATAAATAAATATATTTACGTGCAGCTTCCTCACGAGAAAAATCACAAAATTTCCTGTCGGCCATGCAGGATGCTTGTTGTTGTTTGCATTCCTCTATATTCGGATTATCTTCTCCCATACGATTAAAATTTTCTTTATAATTTCTCGTTCTCAATTGCATACCTATTCCACAACTGGAACTGCATGGGGTCCACACCGACCACTGCGTGTAATGTTCGGGTGGACACTTCTACAAAAAAGTAATTAACTATTTTGTTTAAACAAAACTTTTATCATAACAGAATATAAACTTAAATTTGAAATTAATTATACTTAGAATAAATTCAATAAGATTTTTTATATCCTATTATATTACATAAAAAGAAATATTTAAAAGGACGAGTCCGGTGTTATATGTCGTAGAAACATATAGTTACGAGATATGAAAATATGATAATAATTAATTAATTAAAACTTACACAGAGAGAGACATACACATATATATATATAATATTGTATAT